TGCTTCCCTCTGTGTGTGACCCTTGGCTGCCTGCAGTGAGGTGGCAGCTGAGCTGCTCTACACTGCCTTGGACCTTTCCCTTTTCTTTCTCTAAGCAAGGATACAGCTGAACCACAGTATCTAATTTTATATCAGTAACAGGCCAAGCAACAGCTGAGCCCCAAAGACAACCACATAGAAAGGGGAACAAATTGCATGAGTCAGACTAAAAGCTTCATAAATATTGACTGGTTTTAACAGTCCCCTAAGGAACAGAGAATCTCATAGAATCTTTATAACTACATCTCCCTCCCCATTATGCACTCCCTTCTCTCAGAAAGCTGCAAGGGGAGTTAGTCTCCTGGCTTATGAGCACAATATTTTAATTCTTCTCTGAAGTCAAGTTGCTCTGGCTGGGACTTTGCACCACACATGAGGAGGATATCTGAGCATCTTCCAGTGGTGCTTTAAATAACATTCTGGAGTGGATTTTCTTCTCTCAGGTTGGCGCCAGCATAGAACTGACTAGGTTAGAGGAGAAATCGGACATTAAATGTGTATGAGATGAAGGCTGAAGAGCACGGGGTGCATTTCAGTATCTACCCCTCTGATTCCTACCAGATAAAGCACAGCTGGAGACTCAGAGGAGCAGACATGCAATAGGAGTGTAGACAGAAGAGATAAATAGTAGTAAGTGTACAGTGGTGATACAGGCAAGACACCATGGGAGAAAGGAAGGACTTGGCTACAGAAGATGGAAACAGTTTGTTGTGCATGGGAATAGACTGAGGGGATAGAGGCATGTGGTGGGACAGGTGGGAACGCTAAGCCACTGCCCAGGATGGAGAGCAGGATAACTCTTGTCTTTCTGACATTGTGCACAAAGCTCTCTTCACCCCTGCCATGAGGGCAGCTCTCTTTTCTTGCCTGCTAAATGCTTACCAACTTCTCCCTGATTTGTTGGCACTGTCAATCCCCCATTCCGTTTTTCCCTCTACAAGGCATGTCCACTCCCCATTTCCAAATTATTCCTGTTATTATTGTTATTATTATTATTGTTATTCCTCATCCTCATCTTATTCTTAGGATCATTCTAGGCAAGAAAACAGTGATACATGAATCTCTCCATATGTACCACGCAGGGAGAAGTCCTGTCTCTACCAGCTGAGGCTACAGACTCGCAGCGAAGTCTCAAACGGTGCAGAGGTTGTGGCACTGTTCATATGTGCTTTCTTAAGCACCTTAAGTAAAGGCACTTCCCTGACAGGTCCTTCCTCAGCAGGTTGCTTGCTTTGGGATGGAACAAACTATAGTTAAGTGGAGTCCAAAAGACCACGACAAAGTCTTGGTTCAGCTGAAACACATGGTGCATGTGATGTTTTATGTGTTCTCAGGAAGCTCTGAAAAAGAGAATATTGTGGGGTTTTTTTTTCCTCCAAACCCCAAATGTACAGTATACAAAGTGGTCTGGAAACCTACCACTCCAAGCTGGCTCTGGGAAATAGCCTTTTTATTTTGTCCTGTTTTCAGCAGCTCGACACTGTCTCCTGCATCTACTCACTCAGCCCCCACACTGAATTCCACCTGTCTGAGGCTTGCTGTGGACAGCAGGGGTTACTGCTTTAGGATTAAACTCAGGTTAGGTTATTTGGAGGCTGCAGTCCTACCTTCATTAGAGACAACTGCAAAGCACAAAGCAACTTCAGAGAAACTGGTATTTTATACAACATACCTGAAAATCTTAATTGCTGCAAGATCTACCAATCCAACTGGCAGGGAAGAGGAGTCCATGCACAGAGAGAAGCTGAACATTTTGAGGAAGACATTTTGAACATTTTGAGGAAGATGATATCAGAGAGCAGAAAGGGCCAGCTGTTCCCTAAGGAACAGGAAGCCAAGTGCAGTGACAGCAGGACAGAGACCCACCCTGAGAAGGGCAAGCAGGTCAGGATCAGAGACTGCAGCAAGGTTCAGTCAAGAGCCCCAGTGCTCAGGGAAGCCCATGAAGATTAGGTATATCCCAGGTCAAGATGGAAGTCAATACACTGGTCAGCATCAGACCTGATGACAGCAGCCAGAGACAAACACAGCTCAGTGAGCACCAGACAGGTCCACAGAGATAGAATAAATCCACAGCCAAGAAGAGAAGTCCACCTGCAGGTCTGGGTCCAGATCAAGAGGGACCATAGGCAGGCAAAGACAGCTGAGCTCCAGACCAGAATCCCTCCAGCATAGCTCTGGGAAAAACAGGCAACCAGTCTGAGATTAAATGGGTCTCATGAGCTGATGGGCAGAGAGGGTGGTGAGGCCCCACCTGAGGACACTCAGGGCCATTAACACCCTCCAGGCACTGACCCTCCTATTCATCTCTCACACTGAGAGCTGGTGCAGCTGGATTTGGTGGCACTGCTTGAACCAAGTTTTCTCTATTCCTGCCCTCTGGGCTGTTGACCCAAATTTTCTAGTTTGGTTGTATTGGGTTACCTGAAGTCTGAGTTGCTTTGTGGAAAGAGAAAGTTCTACATGAAGGGACAGACTGGGGTCATGGGGGGTAGAGATGGAGCTCACATGTTCGTGTTCTCATTATCATTGAACTCCACACTCAAATGGATGATTATCAATGACATTATCAGTTATCAGACATTATCAATGAGTGAAGTAATAGAAAGACTGTGGAGATTGCATTGTTTTCCTGTGGAGAATAAAATACATAAGAACAATAAAATGTAATATTATTTCCAGCACCTGGACTAATGGGATAAAAGCAAAGGAATTTTCCAGGTGGGAGCTTTAGAGAAGCCCAACAGTACAAAACAATTATCCCCTAACTTCAAAAAATAAAAAAATTCCACTAGTGCGTGGCAGCAACTGTGAGGCTTCTCTCCACCAAGCCATCCCCTGAAAGCCTCCACCCCTCACAGTATCCAGTCATCTTCCTTCTCATACGTAAATGTAGCATGGCAGTTCCACACCTTCACCAGAACCATCACTTGAAAGGTCTGGCACACTCTCTCCATGAGTTGCTTTGGGGGCTGAACAGTTGCAATGATCCAGAACTGAAGATTCTCTGCAGTGAAGGAGGAAATCCCAGGAATAGCTCAACTTCCTGAAAGAGCCTGCCAATAGCCCATGAGATCTTGTATCCAAAGGTAGGGAAAAACAGTCAGAGATCTGTGGATTTTGCATAAACTTAGATGAGAAGAAGAAACTCATCTTCTGTATCCAGGCAAAGTCAATTTCACAGCAGATCTCAAGACAAATTGAGATTTAGCCATTTAGCACTAAATAAAAATAGACTTGACCTTCCCTTAGGGGTATAGTTTTGAGTCAGAGCTGCTATTTTCCAGACTGGACTCCTGTGCAAATCAAGTTATGGCCTCTGCTTCATGAGAGCTGCTCACCTCTGACCTGTTTGAAACTGGCACCTTAGGAAGATGGAGGTGGCTGGAAAAGTGTTCCAGTAGGGCATATGTGTCCCTCAGTCCAAACAGAACTTTGTGAAGAAGGTGAGCACTTCAGATAGCTGTTCACTAGTTCACAAGTCTGAGGGAAGCTATGAGTTTGGTTAATTTGTACATATTATATCTCCAGACAAAATTTTGGAATGTTTTCTCAGTAGAAAACTTTTAATTAATGAAAGCATCACATTTATTTTTATAGGCATATCCCACAAAAAAATCTAAGCCTCTCCCCCTCCATTTTTGTTAATAATATATCAAATAATAAAATATTACAAGGGTTATTAAAAGGCTTGTCATTCAATTCCTATCCAAGGCACAGAACGAGTTGTACGGGGAGCTGAGGACCAGAAGCCAAAAGCCCAAACATGGAAATGATACTATCTTTCAGTTGAGACGAAGAGCAGGTACCATCAGATAAAGCTATCTTGGGTAATCTTGCATGATGTGGTGTCAAAAAAGCACACACAGTGAGTCACTAGGAGTGTATGTACAAATCAGAGCTTGCCCTGATCCTCTCCCCCATCCCACCACGGTGGGAGTGAGCTGGAAGCTCTGTGGTGCTTGGTTCCTGGCTGGGCTTAAACCACGACAAGTACAGATGATTCAGTTCTGCAGGAAGAGAAGAACAAAGCCTAGCACTGTTACTATTACAATATTTTTCTTGGTAAGGTCGTTGTGGAAAAGTAGTAGCAGGTCCCTGATCAATAGTGATGGATAGGCAACAAATGGAAGTCAAACCAAAATGTAGTCATGGCCTGAGAAGACATGGAATATATGCAGTGTGTCTCAGTACTTTGCTTTAAAATTATAGAACAAGGCTCTGTAGCCAGAACCAGCATCTGACCTTCCGCTTCCTTTTTTTCCCAAGAAAAAAACTGAAGACTCTTGCCCATCCTTGACGTATTCCATACCTACTGCCAAATCTGCACTCCCCCACTCAGACATAATCCCAAAATAGGGTGTGATGCCTTTCCCGTTGACAAAGCCATAAGTCACAGTGAGCAAGACACACTCCAATCAGTTAAATGAAAAGAGCTCTCCCCCTCTGTTTCCCACCACTTCAGCACTCATTATATCTCACATTAATTAATATAGGCACTAGGAAGTGAGATGATAAATTACAAAACCCCATTAACCCGATTCTGTCCAAACTGGTAAAATATGGCAGCTTGTACATTAGACAAATCTTCCTTGCTAACGTGGGAGTCCTCATGCCTGAACTCTGTTAAAGCAACAGCCCTGAAAAAGTATTTTTAATGTGTGTACGTATGGAATGTCTATCAACGTGCGTGAACAGTGCACGCCTGTGGGAACATCAGAATTCATTAGATCAGCCTGATATGAGATACATTGAACAGGTTCCATCTGACTTATGTTACTGGGCTGTTCTGTCCACTCCCAGCGGAGTGAATCATATTGACAGGTTGAATTATATCTCAAGAGATATTTTTCTCCCCTCCTCCAAAGGCCATTTGCAATCACGGCACATCCACTGCCTCTTAAAAGTGAGCTCATCTGGCGCTGGTTGCATTGAAGTCCTCCACCGTGCCTGAAGGAAGGATGCTTCTGGGCTCTGGGAACGTGGAGAAGATGTGGTCTGCCCAGCTGTGTCTGGGAGTGCTGACCATCCTGACCATGGCTCTGTGTGTCCCGTCAACACATGGAGACCCTTTTTTACTCCAAGGTAAGCTGAAATACAGGCTACATGATGCAGGTAGGTGGTTATCTTTCTGCTTTGCTGCTTGCCATGGCCAATGCAACACTCTCTTCTCTGGGAAAGAAAACAAAATGAACCACGAGCTATACTGTCTGTTAACATGTGTGCTAGCGAGAGGCTTGTTCATATTATCATGAGCCAAAGCTATCCTTCTGCTCTGCAGCTGGCCGTATGACACCTTCTGCTAATCAGTGAAAATATCAAATCTGGTGAAATCTGGTAAGGGTAGCTCTTTCTCTCCCATAGGAAAATTTAAAAAAAAAAAATTAGAATATCAGAGAGTAGCAATTCCAGTATGTACCATACGAGATTTGACAGCTCATAAATGCCAGTAGTATGGCGATGCTGTACTTTTTTTTTTTTTACACAGAACTTCTTTTTATATGTACTTCTTCCATAATTTTAATTAATCTTGAGTTTATACTGCAGGGAAATGTCAATCATTAGCGCTCTTTCTTAAAGAGGCTTGGCAGTGGAAAAGAAGAAAGAGCCGCTAAGTATAGGCTTGAAAATAACATTGCTTTTCAAATGATTTTTCCTCTAATATCACCTATTTATTTTTGTAATTACAAGCAAAACATTCCCCAGGCCACTCTACATAAATCCTGCTTCTGTTTAGCTTTCACTGGAGTGTTTATAGCGTTGGATTTTTTTTCCCTGTAGCAAATCACCCAAAAAATTTAAAGTAGCTATTTTAAAATTATAACTGTCCTTCATATTTAGGAATGAGGTTTATGGCTAACTGCAGGTCGCTCTGCTCGCTGCCCTGGGTTTATTTCCAGAGATCACAATCAGGACCAGCAGCTTCAGCTGCAGCATGAGGCAGGGTTGAGTCTGGCCAAATACTTGGAGCATCTCTTTGGCCAGCATCCCTCAGCTTCTGCAGATTTATGTGACGTTAGCTAATGGTGCTGATTCCCACATGCTCTTGAGCATCCTTCAGGCTCGTCTGCTACAACGTTTTGTTTCATGTGTACCAAGAATAATTGCATTCATCCCCTCAGGGGGGCTGATAGCCATATGAAACTCCATTGAGGAGAAGTCCTAAAGATCCTGGAAGAAGAGAAAAAAAAGCCTTTCTATATAATTTCTTAGTATTTTCCATGGAATTCTGTAGGCTTCCTTCTAGGGCTTTGTAGGGACTCGTGTGGGGTAGGGCTGTTCAGATCAAAGATTTTTTGGAATGCTCAGTTTCCCTATAAAGTCTGGCTCCTATTCTGACGTTCTCAACAATTAGTACAACATTCTAATTCAGGTGACTCTGGAAATCTGTTGAGCAGAGCTGGGAGGGTCTCAGAGCCTTCAGGGCACTGAACAGCCCCATCCACTGTGTCTGTTGGTTTCTGCTGAACCATTGACCTTCACAAGCACTCATTTGAGGGCATAGCCACAACCACTAAAGTAAAACCACTGACAAAGTGCCCTAAAGAGGCCTCTTAGAGAGCTCCAAATTGCTTTAGGACAGCAGCTTGGGGAGGTTTTTCCTGGAAAAATTCTGCGTGGTCTTGCTTTAAGTTCCTCCAAACTTAAACTCTGTTCAGGAAGAATCCTTCAATACTGCTGGCAATCAGAGCAGCCCCAAGGCTGAGCGAGCTCAAGAAAGGGCGTGGGTGGGCTGCAGGGCTTTTCAGCAGGGGTACCCACACCTCAGCCCAGTGAGGAGGGACTTCCCACCTCTGTCAGCCCTGGGAAGGTGCATGGAGCGAGAAGTTTTGAGGAGAGAGGATGTTGTGGGCTCCTGTGTGGCTTTGCAGAGGCGCCCACTCCACCCGCCCTGCAGAAGAGCTCGGGACTGTGTAAATCAAGGTGATGGCTCCAGCTCTCTGCAGCCAGTCATGCTGACGAGGCTGCAGTGGAACTGGCCAGCAGCCCAGAGCTGGCAGGGAGGGCTCCCCATCCCACACCCTTCCCCTGCACAGCCCTCACTGCCTGGACATTTTATTCTGTGCTCACACACCTTCCTTTTCCACCTAGCTCCTTCCACCCTGATAAGTGCTGACATGAGACATTTTCCTTCCACTTCTCATCCTTCTTAATTTGATGAAGAGATTAATTGCATCAATTGATTAATTGATTCTTAATTTGATGAGATTGAGAAAGATGTGTTTTATGTGCTGCAGAGAACCGAGTGCTTCCAGAGAGAGAAGACACAAATCATGAGAACACATTGCTGACTTTGCTTCTTAATAAGAAATTTGCCTGGCGGAGGCCAGAAAATATTGGTAAGTGAAGGGGAGGACAGATCTCTGCTTCTTGAATCTGTGTTTGCATGAGTGCAAGGAACCTGCTTCTCAGGTTCTTCAGAAATACCAACTGCTCAGAAAGTGGAAGCAGCACCCAGTATGATCCCTACACGTGATTAATGTCAGATGCTCTCCATCATGGGCCTTCGGGACCTGCTTTTGCAATGCAAAGTAAAGCCTCCAAAACCCATCTACCCTAGATCCCCAGACACTCAAGACTTTGCTGGGAACATGTGTGTGTACATAAGTAAAAACGAGAAAAATTTCTGCTGAGTCCCTATGGCCCCACTATCCCCTAGATGTTGTGTGCATTGCCTGGGGCATGGACCAGCTTTGGGAGTCACCTCTCTGCCCACACCCCACACAGCCCCGTGAGCTTTCGAGAGACAGCAGCATCTTGTTATCATTTGGGGCAGGGGGATTTCACCAAGATTTTCCAGTGAGATCCATTGGGGTCAGGTGTAGTTTGGGACAAGGGCAGGGGGAGCTCCTGTCTGGGCCGAAGCCCCTGCTGCTGCTGGAGGAGGTTGAGACAACTGGCTTTTCCCACACAAAGACGGGCCAGGGAGAGGCTCTTCCTGCCTGTGCTCTGTGAACAGACACCAAATTTAAAAACCACCCATCTGTGGCTAAACTCAGACCTGCTGCAGAGAAACTTGGGCTTTCCCTGACATGAGGCACAGCGATCACAAGCACCAAATGGATTACAGAGGTCAGCTATTCCCACGGCCACGGCAGCCAGGGGAGGGTTGGGGCTGGATGTGGTGGTCTCGGAGCAGGAAGCTGCCCTTCCCTGTGAAAACAGCTCAGAGGGGGCCCAGCAAAAACCTTGTTATGAAAATCCATTTATCAAACTCACTCAGTGCTCTTCCCCAGACCCTTGTTAATGCAGCAAGGCAGTGGTTAAACAAGCTTGGGACAAATAAATAAACATAAATAAATCAAGCCCTTTTACTAACAAAGGCATTCTTCTTGCAAAGGGGATGCATTCAAGAAATAACATTTTTATTGTAAATTTATGGATTATTGCACTTATTACTCCTAGAGGAAAGGCTGCATTTTATGCCAGACAATTGAATATAATGAATCTCTGAGCAGAGCACAGACAGAGGATTTACAGCAGGCAGTTTCTCAAAGCTTCATCCATAAATTAACTTCCTTCTCCCCGTCTGAGATAATTTGTTCCAAATTTCAACTGCTGTTTGTTTTGTATTCATAGCAGTCATTGGCCAAACTTAGTTTGCAAAAAAATCAAACCAAAACAGGTACTTGAAACTCTGAAAGAGGTAAAAATGTTAATAATAGTAATTATTAAGTGACACTTTTGGTTTATGGATATGCCAGGGTCTGTCTGTCTCTACCTTATGGGTATGTAAAGATATACGTAGGAGGAGTCTGCCTGAGGTCATTGCTGATAGTGCCAGGAACAGAGCCCACACCTTCTCATTCCATCCCCATCTCATCTCTCAAATTGAATCCTGATGTAATGGATTTGGTTAGGAACTGCTGCTTTTACTGTTGGATGAATATCAGAAAATATTCAGGATTTTTCAACAAAACTGTTCCTTTCTTGAAGGAGGAACCAAGAAGGCAGTCAGCTCTTTCTTGGCACCCTCCTGCTCAGTTTCAAATGTTCAAAAAAAAAAAAAAAGTCCTAGTCTGGCAATGTGTCTGTGTGCTGAAGTCTTATCTGAAATCTGAAATCAAGAGGAATTATGTCTTAAATCCCCCTGATGATCCAGACCAATGCCTGCTGCCACACTAGGAAGAGAGAAAAGAGGCAGCTCCAGGGCTGTTTTTTGCTTGTGGGGCCCAGCAAAAACATTCTTTAGCTCTTTCCTGGCTCTTCTGCTTATTTTATTGCATTTTTTCCCCAAACTAGCACTTACAACCAGCTGATCACTTTGCACTCCCCTCCCAGGAGCACTACTGTAGCCAGACACTCAGCTTTGACTGAACTCATCTGTCTTATTAAAAAATTAACTGGTTTTGACATCACTTTGGGTCTGGAATAAGATACCTCAGTCCTCAAGAGCTGTGAGACTGAAATTCCCCACCCCTGCAGCTTTCCCTATTGCTATTCCAGGCTCTTCCCAGTTCAGCTGGATGTTTCAAATCCTGTTCTTAGGCACCTAACTCTCCCCTCTTGCTGCATGGGCAGTTCATTCATCCACCTGCATAGTTTTTTTGACAGCAGTACAGTACTGACTAGCCTTGAGATCCCTAAGTCTGATCTGTGAGGCTGGGCCCCAGGTCCTTATGCTTCCCTAAGGTTTAGAAGTGTGGAATCTGTGCACTTACTGCTATGAGACTTTTCCTGTTGCTCCACTCTGCCAGCCTGGATCTTTGCTGACTTATAAATCAGTGAGTTATGCTAGGCTAAATTTGTGTCTTCTGACTTCTGCCTGCTCGGGTGATGTGAGGATAAACAAGCCTTAAAGGAAGCAGTGGGATTTCATATAAAAGCCAGTGACAAAAAAAACCTCCAGCATTAGAGATTTGCAGTTAGCAGGATAAAAATTAAAAAGCAGCAAAGAGTTTAACCTGAATTGGTATCACACAGTAAGTGACCTCATTGGACCAATTCCCCTATGGCCTGGTGAGCAGTAAAGAAGCTTCCCTCATAATGGAGAATTAGGATAAGGTCCCATAGGATTCAGCAGAAAAAATTTGCTTTTCTCTCTGTTTCTGCTGTCATTCATTTGAAGATCACTAACAGGAGTTAAATGATAACTAGCTCTTTGGTTGTTGACCTCTGGAGAGGGCAGATGAAGGAAGAAATGTTTTTTAATTTGAGCTTCAGGAAGCAATGCAGATACTGATGTTGCTCTTTTCCCTCTTGCAGACTGGGAGCTGGCAAAGAAATTTGAAGAGCTTGAAGAGGTGAGAGGAACAAATGCACAGGCACATAGATGCATGTTCTTTCATGGGTAGTTAAAAAATTTTGTAAACTGTCTTTATGTCCAATCCTTCCATCTTTGCATCCTGTCACCCTTCCACCTGCTGTTGTAATGTAAGCATGGATGGAGAAAAGGAAAAAGCAGAACCTGGCTAGACAGCTGCACAAGCTGGAAAAGGTAAAAAGAGAACAGGGCTGTAGACTGGTGCAATAATAGCTGAGCAGTTCCTGCCTCTGTCACCAGCGAAAGGCCAGTGAAGGCCAAGCCAGGAAAGAATAAAGCACCAAAAGAAATCTCCATAGGAGAAAAGGGAGTGGGAAGAGGAGGTCATGCTGCCTTGTGTGAGCTGGCTGCATCAGGTAACAGGTTGGAGGGAAAGTCACTACCAGGCAGTGCATCTTACTCTCCTTGTAAGAGCAGCCCTACTCAAGGTCAGAGCCCTGCTGAGCTGATCAGAGCATGCACACAGAAATAGAGCCCCCCTCCTACACCCACTGCCCAGGAACAGGGAAAGGTCTGCAGCAGCCTTCACATGGCTCACATTGTGCCCCAAGCCCTACAAGCATTGGAAGTGATTTTTTCCCCTTCTCAGGCCAGGTCCAGCTGCTCCAGCTGTTTGCATGGGTGCTGGAGGTCCTGCTAAGTTCCACATGACACTTTAATTTCAGACAAAAAAATCCCAGTGCATCATGCCAGACAGGAGGCTGCCAGGTCCTCCACTAGCCTCTCACTCCAGTGCTGAGGGACATAAGCTCTGACTGTTTGAGAGCAGCTCTGCCAGAGCAAAAGTCAGGGTGGTGGCTGTAGGTGTTCCCAGTCCACAAGAAGAGAGTAGCTAAAGATGAAGAATTGCAGCACACTGTCCACATTATAACCAAGGGAAGGTAGCAAGAACTGTGAGGGAGAGAGAGGAGGGACAGCCCAGGGCAATGGAGAAGCAATGTCCTCTGCTGCAGTGTCTGGATGCCTGGAGACTTCGTGTCCCAGCACTGTCCTTTTGCAGCTTATTGCTGCAATATCCTTCCACACAGCCTCCCTTCCACAGGGACTTACACCTAGGGTGGAGGGAATGAGCATGGAGTGCCCACACCACTGCCACCAAACAAGCAGCTTGATGAAGGAGGGCATGAGGAGGTGTGAGTGCTCCAAGGGTTGATCCTCTGGGAATGGTCCTGCTCCAGGGAACACTCTCACCTTCCCAGTGAAGATGCCAGCCAGTCTACATTTAGCTCCTTTGCCCTTCATTTCCCAGCACTCTGTGGAGCTCCTCATGATGGGGCCCTTGTTTACTGCTGTGTTTCTGTTTAAACAGCTGGAGAAGTTGAAGGATCAGCTCTCAGCTGAGGATGGGTCAGAGGTGGCCTACGCCTTGGAAAGTCTCTCAGCATCCCAGCCCAAAAAACGCGGTAGGTTTTGAGTTTGAGCCTTGCAGCCATCCTGTCCACCCTCATTTCCAGGGCTTCCTTTCTGCAACAAAGACAGTCACAGTAAACATGCCCCAAATATGCTGAAAAGCAGCTGGTTGGCAGCTTTTCAAGCAGTCCTGGCCCTCTCTTATGGCTGGCTGGTTTAGCAGCTGCTGAGAAGGTTTGTGTCCCCCAGCCCTCTCTGCTGTGGAAGCAGATACACCAGGTCTGCACACCCAGGACTTCACAGAGGCAGGCAGTGTCACATCCTGCTTTTCACAGAGGAGTGTGGGGTTATATGAGCCATGAGTGCCTGCCCTGGAGGGGCGCAGTTCTGTATGAACATGTCCCCTCAGTGCACCCCTCCTTTGCTCTGGCCTCAAAGCAACTGCTGGAGGCATAATGAGGCATGTGGACTGCAGGCATTCCCTTCTGCCAAGGTCACTGCCTCCCCACAGAGAAAAAAGGAGCACTTGTCTGCTGCTGAAAAACAGCTAAAAAGGATGTGGAAATCAACCAAGAATGCAGGGAACTAAGATCTGGTATGTCCCTCTGTTGGTCTCCCAGCTTTGTTTGTCCAGTCTGTATCCAGTGACTCGGGAGCATTTTGCACGAGTGCTCCTGTGAAGCTGCCCCTGACAAGCGCATGGACAATGCTGCTCGTGCTGGCTTTCAATGGATTCCTCCACAAAGTTGTAGCAGCTGTGAACCAGAAGTCACTGATGACAGATCTGGCCTAAAACCAAAAGAGCTGGTTCTGCCCTTAGCCCACATGCTCTGTGCACGTGAAAGCTGAGAGCTGCCAGAGAGCCAAGAGAAAATCCCTTTGTGCTAGGCTTGCTTAGATGCTTAGGTGATCCTTAGGCAATATGCAATTTGTAAGCGTCCCTGGAGGCTGCCATTAATTTGGCTAATGTAATTCATGCCCCCACCAGTCTGGAAGGTTTAATGTAGATAAAGCTACTTCCCGTTGCCAGGTTTAAATCAGATTCTGACAGAAATGAAAGCAGGGAATCTTTGTCTTCATCTAAAGTCCTTCCAGTCTGGGAGGAGCTCGTGTCTCAGCATGAGCACTGCTGATTCAGTAGGAGTTTTCTTCCAAGATCCTGCTTTCAAAAACCATGTATAAATCTCTTCTCATACTTGAAGAAACAGGAAACTCACATGGGATTCATGCTGGTTGTGATACAGTTACTTTTTCCAACACCAAAATATACATCCTTCCCTAATTTAGTCTTAGAAGATTCTACAGAAATCCATGTTGTTTGTAAGATGGTTGATAGCAGAGTGGTAGTGACTAGGTTTAAAAAAGTAAGAACCAGATCTAATCTCTCCAAGTCAGTATCCTGCTCTTCCAGTCAGCCACAGGTGCAAACCCCTGCACATACCTCTGAAGCAGCAAAACTGCTGGTCAGTAGATGGGAAAGAAAAAGCTAGCTCCTGACATTGCTGAAGTAGAAGGAAAGGAAATCTTTTAAATCAAGCAACATGAAGACAACATTTAGACCCCATGTTTACTATGAGCAGCTGAAAGAAGCACCTTCTAAAAGTGTTATATGAACTCAGAGCTGGTTATTGAGATGTGTCCTGAAAGCACAATGCTGGCTGCATGCTCCAGCTCTCTCAAGACGTGGGTCTTTTGAAACCTTCTCCAGGGCTAGAGTCGGAAGCTGGAAAAAGTCCCTTGTATGCTGACATCTTTCTTTCGTATCCCTTCACAGCCTGCTTTTGGAAATACTGCATCTGAAGGCTTGTCGGGACTGGAGGATGAAGATGAGCCCTTCCCCAAACTGCCTTGCTGGGTATTAACATGTTAAGAGTTTGTCCTGTTCCCTCATCGTGCTGCTAATCTGGAAGCCATCCTCCATGACTGCACCACAGCCAAGTCTAGCAGGGGCCGTGACAGGAGCTGGCAGCCCACTGCCACTCTCTACTGTTCCTTTCTTCCAGGTTTAACCTGCCACGATCTTCTACTCAGAAGATGCTTCCCAACTTTCTGTGCTGTCCTGTGTGTGCCGTTCAGGCTGCTGCCGCTGCACATCCTCCCCTTCTCACCAGGTCCCCTGAGGCACTGAGCACGAACTCAGCTTCCCCGGGCTTGGGCTCTGCCCACACCTGCAGACATTGCTCTCAGCCGTGCCTGGGTTTCCTGAGCAGGTCTGTGCTGCCCTGGTGGCCGCTGCTGGGACAAGAAGACAGGCTGGGTGCGATGTGGAGGGCTCAGGGCCGGATTGCTGAGCCAGAGCTGCTCCTCGCCGTGTCCCACAGTGTGCACAGGGAGGGCAGGCACTGAGCTCTGGATCCTTTGGATACCATTCCAATAAAGATTTTCTGTTGCACAGAAGCATGTGTTTCTCAGTATTTGCTTTCTCGGCCCCTGCAGGGACCTAAAGTGCAGCACATTTCCCTTGATGTTGGCTCCTGTTACCTTAATGGTTCACGTGGAGTTCACAATGGAAGAAAGGCTCCCATTAAACACCTAGGGTTTTAATGTGCCTGAGAAACAGTCCCTTTCTTTTGGCCGGGATCAGGAATGAGAGCTGGGTGTTTTCATAGCTATTTATGGAATACTGTCCTCATTGGACTGGACCAGACCCAATGTTCTCTACCTACTCACTCCAAAAAGATGTTTTGAACAGAGATTTTTGGTTCATCTGGCTGGTCAATGCAGGTGCTTGCTGGCCTTTTCTACTGCAGAATTATATCTGGCCCTGTCCAAAACGAAAAAATCACAACCCATTAGTGATTCCTACATATATTCATGTCACGTCACATTATCCACATTTATTTGCAAAAGCAAAGAACCTTATTCCAGAAAATGTCAATTCAGAATAAATCCCAATGTTAACTTCGAGGTTTCCAACAACCTAAATGAGGGCAGGATCAGGTAGCCACTGTGAATGCGTGGAATGACTTTGACTAGCATTGAACTTTCTCTCTAGCTCTGTTCAGCCCTGCAGCTTGCATATTAGATATTCTTCCAAATGTTACCTCTCCCAAAGCTGTAATTGCCATCCTACGCTCATTGCCTTGGGCTCTGGCAAGAAGCACACCTTACCACAGCAGTACCTTGCATGCACTTCATTAACAGGAGACCTATTCATCCTGTTGCAGGCCAAAGCCAGCATCTAGGGAATGAGGCCAGCTTGCTTGATTATATCAGTGAAGTCTAATGACATGCAAAATACAGTTTCCTCTTACCATTAGTTGTTTGTTATTTCTTTAGTGGTGATTCAGAACCCATTTCCCATTTGTTCTTTGTTGCTTTTGTGTGAGTGAAAAGGTATGTGGGAACACACTTTCACATACCCTCACACTGGCACCAAACCCAGGAAAAAATTGTAACCTATGGACAGGAATAGTCTCTCTCTCTCTCTTTAAAAGTTTTGTGCTCCAGCTGAAAGGAAGGTGTGTTCCAAGAGTTGCGCCGAGTGCCCCAAGGTGGTGTTGAGCTCAGATTATTTCAGTTTGCAGGAAATCCCAGTGGAAGGAAAGGTCAGAGCAGGAGGCTCCATCTGCCACCTGCTTGCTGTAGCCATGCCTTCCTGAGCCTGTGTGACAGCTCGACAGCAAGTCAGGGAAATGAATACTGTGTCTGCAGATATTTAACAGCTTGCTCTGACCCTGGACAGGAGTTCCCTGGAGTGCAATGCATCATGCTGCTTAGCAGTGATTTTCTGCTACATCCTATCAGTGCGGTTATTTAAGTGCTTGTGGTACCCAAACTACCCTCTATTTCCTGACAGGCACTTTGTCCTGCTGTATTAGCTGCTTCTGCTGCAGACATCAGCATGTATTGAATGCAATTTATTAACTAATTAGAAGCAGAGATGGTGGTGTTCCCCCCAGGCTTACCCTCCACATGGCAGTGTGGGGTCCTGTCCTTTCTCCGAAACACACAGAGCAGAAACCCTTCTCCTCCAGAGAGTGGCTGCTCACACCCTACCCATGCTTGGGCAGTCACTCTTGCCAAAGTTAATGACCCACAGGCAATAATTAAAGGGATTTCCCTGAGACATTCTAGTAGATCATGTGGATTTATTAGGAGAAAATCCTCAGACATCTGAATGGATTTGCAAATCCAAGCAGCACAGGGCAAGTCTAGTGTGCAACGGATGGCACAGTTTATCCTCATTTCACATTTGCTGATCTCCATGCTGTGCACTATGGCTGGAGCCATCCTACATTGACTAAAATTGTGACAAAATTGTGGTGTTTGGCCTTTCAGACATCATCAGATTTCCAGATTTTAAAGAGTGCTTCTTGAGCCACAAGAAGTCTCAGTGTGCTCAGTGATGGACGAGGCAAAAGAACAGAAGGACTGTTGCTTTCTCCCAGGTAATCCACACAGTGGGGTGGAAGCAGGACTGAAGCTTCCAGCTCCCAGTTCTACCAACACCAGCAGAAACCCCTCTGTCCTGCTTCGCTTTCACATTTCCCTTCAGATGAAGGTCATTTCTGCACATAACTTTCAGCCTTTAAAACCCTACTTTTTTTCAAAGCCCCAGCTAATACCTGCCAAATATTAAATACTTCTATGATCCAGCACTGTCTTTGCAAGGCTGCTGTGTTTGCACTAGATTCCTCTGGTCTCATTCTCCAAAAATATGTCAGGCACTGACTCTGTCCGTAGTTCTTTTGACTGGCAGCTGTTTGAGTGCTCAGGTCACCACTTCCATAATCTGCCTGTGCCCCATACATATGGCTGCCCTGCAAGCAGATTATCTGCAGCCTGTCTGGATGAGCTCAGTGCAAGAAGATAAAAGTTCCCTAAACTGCAAGGCAGGCTCAGGATGGGTGGTGGCAATGCACTGCAGAGGACTGCCTGGGACTGCATTTGCAGGCTTGCTTCCAGCATGGACTGAAACTCTTGAGTCAGGCAGTCTACATGCACCCACCGGGCCCAGCTCTCAGACCACTCAACTGGAAGCTTAAAGGCAGAAAATTAGCAGCATGACCAGGGGAAAAACAGGAAGCAAAACCCCAAGATCATCACATATGGACTTACAGGCCTTCTTTTTTTCTCTGACTTTGGAGAGCTTTCCAGACATCTGCAGTGCTTCACCTCACACACAAGCACGGACAGCTCACCCACCAAAGGGAGAACGATCTCCTAACTCAGCTGCAGTGCTCTGGCAGATGGCAAAGATAGGGACACCTCTTGATGTGAGTCACTGGCTTGTGCTGCTGCTCTCAGCAGCATCAGCCTATAGCGGAAATATCAATAAAAGTGAAGTTTCTTGCAAATTTCCTATGCCTGAGCCAGTCTTGGTCTCTGGGCAGGGCTGTAGGCAAGGAGGAAAATGGGAAAGGCCCCTGTTATGTCTGAGCACATGAATGAGATGTTACCTGCCCTTCTGAGTGGGAGCCTCATCTCTCACCCTGGCTGAACCAGGGCAATTGTCCCAAAGTCCCAACCCTCACAACAGCTTTTAAGTCTCATTGATTTCCCAAATACTTTTTTTTCCTTTTTTTTTTTTTTTTTTTTTTTTTTTTTTTTTTTTTTTTTTGCGAGCTGATGGCCAGGTGCTTTGTGCCTCATACAAGATCAGGAAATTAACACTTAATTCCCATCTCCAGCATTGCTTCCTGCCTAACACAGGGTGTTTGGCAAGAATAAGGGTTTTTTTCCTTAATCCTGCATAATCCCTTTCTCAATTTCTTTTGCAAGGCTAAGGATGATTTATACCCCAGAATAGCAATCCGAGAAATTTAGCTGATATGGACCAAAGTCCAAGAAGGAGAGAGAATGTGAGGTTTAGAAAACATCAGCTAGGAATCTGAGCATTGAGATGTCAGCAGAGAGCTCTTCTCAGCTGTATTTTATAATCTGGAAAGAAGTGAAAAGGATGAAAGAGGATTTAAGATAACCTGTTTTACTCTGAAATGGAGAGGACATGTTTACATTTTACCAGAGTGAGAAATACTTGAACTTTTAGAGCTGGACTCTGACCATGCCCTCTGCACACTTCAAGAGGCTCAAATAAGGCGTATGATGCAGATGGCCTTGGAAGTGGATGACTTCATATTTGGACACTATGTTATGCATAGGGAGGAGTGAAATGTATTCATAAACCAAAAGTCTCACCACGTTTCAGGATCTGCCATATGATGAAAACATGTCTAAATGTGGTGCAGAGATAAGAGAGAGACTACTCAAAGCATCAGGACAAATACTAAGGTCTTGTCACTGTTCTTGTTTAGACTAACTCCTAGTGAAGGCAGAAAACATCTCCACCCAAACAGCAGTTCAAAAGCATTCTAGCTCTGTCCCATAACTGTTATACTCTCCCTTCATCTACTGATCAGTTCCCCTCCAGAAAGAAATGTGCAAAGCAAACTCTCTGCTTTTCATGGACAGCTGTTGGCATCTCTGAAAATTTTATTTTCAATCCAAAAAATCTCAGTCCTGCCCAGGATAATAAAATTCTGCAAGTTTAACAGATAAATGCCATGCAATAAAAATATATACATATTCTCTGTTCCCTCCTACCAGTGACACTGTGCACAGAATGCTGTGCGAGCATTCTGACCTGATGAACTGAACATGTTATTATTTGTAAATGCAACTTGAAACAGATTTTGCAGGAGGTCAATTCCTTGAGTGCTGTATCATCAGGCAAAGACAATACATGCTGTGAGGCATCTTCCAAAACTCTGTAATGTTTCCAATACAGCATCACTCATTCAGAATAGAAGCATCTGCAGCCAAAAAAAAAAAAAAAAAAAAAAAAAAAGACAGTAAACATTACATTTTCCAATGTCAGAAATACAAGGCGTGGTCAAACACACTGTAAGGTAGAGTAGAGGAGATTAAAATGTTAAGAATACTTGTTTGCTTGTAGAGAGGTACTCAGTGGGGGGATTCCGTGTTCTAAAAAGCCATCATTCCCTAAGCCACTCCTCCCAAGCCTGCTGGCATGACTGAGTACCTCCAGCAACAGAGCACACCTGGGCTCTCCAAGCCTGCCCTCAGCTGGAATGCTTTGGCTTACCTGCAGCAGCTGCTAACCCCTGGTGTTGCCGAGGTGGCTCACTCCAATCCGGTCCAGAGGAACTCCAAACCTTCTCTTAGGCAGCTCAAACACTTTCCTGCACGAGGGAAACGAGCAGAGAGGGAGGGAAACGAGCAGAGAGGGAGGGAAACAAATGGGAAAAGACATCTATGAATAATCAGGATGTTACTACATGTTTGATACCTGCATTCATCCCACTAACACCTTATTGTTCAGACAGAACAGTGAGCAGGAACAGCCAAAGATGTGTGTCTAAAAATAAGATTCTGCACTTGTCTGACAAAAGGCTGCAGTTGCAGCTGTTTTACAGACTGGCTGAGCTTGATCCACTACCCCTATTTTTATTTGGCAGCAAACTAACTTCACAGGTTAACTGCTATTCATAAAAGAAAGGTGATACACTGCATTTATAAAGGGGAATTGTTTCCTGCACAGTGTCACACACTGCAGGTCACCCATGACCTGGGTCTTGGAAAGCTCCAGGGCCAGCTGAGGCTAAAATTAGCAAGGAGGTAGAAAGTATTGCACAGTAATAGAGAGGATGAGTCAGAAGTGCTCTAACAGGGGTTTTCTATAGGTTCTTTGGCAATGTAGTGTTCATCAGAATGGTATAGAAGCAGTCCTTTGATGAGATTGAAAATGGGAAGATTTTGGGGTTGATTTTTTTTCCTGTATATGGTAAATTTCCTGACAATTTGATGAGTTAGGGTATGAGGAATGCGTGAAAGAATTTCTACACAGCAATAATTTTTTTTGCAGTTCTTTTTATATAAAATAATAAGTTTTCCTATCTTAATTCAGCATTTTTGAGCATTTTTTTTCCACCAGCAGAAGTTTTATTTTAATTAGCTGTGGAAATGGCAAGAATTCCTGCAGCTGAGAACAACCTCAACTTTTGCCCTCAGAAATACTTGTCAGTGAAATGCAAGTCCAAGAGAAGCCCTGGAAGATTAATTCTTTATCAGTCCTTGCTGAGGAACACAAATAAAAATAAATTTTGTTCTGTAAGTCGGCAACTGCAAAGTAACAAGCAGGAGGGAATGCTGCCGTTCACTCGAGGATAACTTTGTGCCAGCATTGTTAAGCTGCCTCACCCCGGGGCTCTGGGTTTGTGCACGGCCACCCAGAGCCGTGCAGCCCCTGGGCTCATCTGAGCAGCTCCTTCCCTCATCCCCCTCTGCAGCCAATGCATCATTCCAGCACCCACAGCCCTGCCGGCTCTGTCCCGGCTGCTTGAGCTCGGGGATTGGGAATTGGGGGCGTACCCGTGTGAGGGGAGCACCACATCAGTGCTGCAGAGTTGGAGAGCATCACAAAGGAAGGGGAGCCTTTTGTTCGGCCTGTCCCTTCCACAGGTATCCCTGCCCCAAGCCCGAGGGAAGGCAAAGGGAAGGAAAGGCAGGATGCTTAGTCTGTCGCCTCGAGGGAAGCGCTGCTTTCCCCGCAGTGGGGAGGCACTTGGGCTGTCAGAGCCATCCTGAGCCTGCCTGGAGAAAAGGGGGGGTAACTCCTCGGAATGGAAGGGGATGGAGAAGGTGGGGCGGGGCGGTGTTTCTGCCCCCGGAGTGGTGCCACTGCCATGCTGGGTGCTCAGATCAGGGATGAGGAGCGGTGCAGGGATGAGGAGCGGTGCAGGGATGCGGAGCGGTGCAGGGATGCGGAGCGGTGCCGCTGCCATGCTGGGTGTTCAGAGCAGGGATGCGGAGCGGTGCAGGGATGCGGAGCGGTGCAGGGATGCGGAGCGGTGCAGGGATGAGGAGCGGTGCAGGGATGAGGAGCGGTGCAGGGATGCGGAGCGGTGCAGGGATGAGGAGCGGTGCCACTGCCATGCTGGGTGTTCAGAGCAGGGATGCGGAGCGGTGCAGGGATGCGGAGCGGTGCAGGGATGAGGAGCGGTGCCACTGCCATGCTGGGTGTTCAGATCAGGGATGCAGAGCGGTGCAGGGATGCGGAGCGGTGCAGGGATGCGGAGCGGTGCCGAGCAGCGGCAGCGCAGCCCAGCGTCCCCTCTTGCGGCCGCCCCGCGCCACGGCAGCCCCGCCATTCTCCACTCCGCAGAGTCCCCGTGCTGTCCCGTACGAGGGACAAAGTAGCTTTTTCTACTTAAAACAGCCTTGTCTAGGATTCCCGCAGGTTCTTTCTCCCTGCCTCCCGCACGCTTTTCCTGCGCCTTTCAAAGCGCTACAAACCGGTGCTGATGCCAGACCAGGATCTGGGCTCTCCTGTCATCGCTGGGTGTCACAACGAGCTGTGAAGTGGACTAACAAGTGATCTGCTCTTTTCCAAAAGTTTCTGCTTTGTGCCAGACACTGCGCACACTGCATTGATTCGGGGGGCTCAATCTATTGATCAGCTCTCCCGAATTAATTTCCTGGTCTCTAAAGGTGACCGGCTCAGCTCGTACAGGACTGAGCTGTTATCTGCTGCCTGAGCCACCAGGACAGGGTGCTCAGTCCTCTGTCTTACTCCTCCAAGTGCAGCAGCCTCTGCCAGTTTCTATCTAAAGGTACTTTTCTATCAAAAACCTTATTACTCTTTCACAGCATCCGTCTGATCTGCAGTCCATGCTGCTGGTGGTGTCACACTATCACTGCAGTGATCAAAGCAGCTCAGGTTGTTCTGATAAATGGCTCAACCCCAAAATTAAAAGGTGAACAGCTCCCCCAGAGTGATAATCCCAACTCAAAACTGCAAACTGTGCTGATGCTGCTGGGAAAGGGGCAATTTTGTGCAGCATGTCACTCATTTTCATGAGCTCATTATTCAGAGACAAACTGGTTTTTACCACCATCTCCCTTTTTATTTTTTGTTTGTTTGCTTTTTGCTGTTGTTTTGGGGAATTTTTTGTTTGTTTCTTTGTTTAGGTTTCCCCTTGTACTGCATATAGAATGAAAGATTTCCATCCAAAAAAACATGAAAAAGATTTGGAATACCACGTATCTTTGCAAAAAAATTATAGCTTAAAAAAAGACCTTTTTTTCTTTGCCTGGAAAGGGAAAACATGCTAAAAAGCAAACGAAGAGTGAGCTGATTTTGATATCTTGAAGAGGCAGACAGAACAGAATAATTCTACTTAAGGTTTTAAGAATTTTGTATTTTATCACTTTTGGCTGCAGCCAAACAGTCCTAGTGGCAGACTGGGTGGATAAATGGAAAAACAACAAGAAAATATTGCAAAACTTGGTTTGAAAAAAGCTCTTGTAATATTGACTGGCTCTCGTGAATACTTTCCATTTCCAGATTAAGCTTTAAGCATGTTATTAAATACTTTGTGGCATTAGGGATTCCATCCAAGAGAAGACAGTTACCAGAAGAGCAGAACAAGACAGGCAAGCTCTCTCAGACACAGGAACAGCCCCTAAAGCTGTGCCCCAAACTCGCTCTCTCTCCCCAGCCATCGAGCATCATTCATTGCTTAGCCTTGTTATAAACAAGTTAATCTTCAAACACACATTGCTGCATTGTTTAAACCCTGATTTATCCAAAGATAATAGAGGTCTTGAAGCTCATTCTACTGTCTGCCTGCCCATTTTCATGATGTGTCCTCCATCTTTCTGTTCAAAACATCCACTCCACCAAACCTTCTTCCCATCCCAGTCTCAGGAGCACCCAGCCCTGCTCTCTGCTTGTGAACCTCAGGCACCTTTCTTGCTTTAGCAAAGCTCATGGTCAGATATGAAGTTTTAAACTGAGTGTTAGTTCAAACCAGTGGAAAGAAGTGTACTGGAAAATCACAGGTACTGGGATGTTGTCTGGTAGCTATGCAGCACTGTAGGGATAAAGGAACTGGTGAATGTATTGTACATTACAGCTGAAGGGTGAATGTATTGTACATTACAGCTGAAGGGTGGCACACTCTTTGAAAGGTTTCTGATCAGAGGCACCTCACAGCTGACCAGCAAACAGGCTGAGGGCTAAAGCTAACCCATCAGTGTCCAGAGCACCTAGCAACAGCCCTCCTCCAACTTTATCACTGGCAGGAGCACTTAAGAATTTACCTCTGTTTGCCTTTTGCATCCACAGAGGATGAAGAAATTCTGTCAATGGGGGAGCCAAATCCTGAGAAGCTCCTTTTCTTCTTGGTCTCAGTCACCTCGTTCTCCAGAGACACCAAGTCATCAAGAAGGAACAGTTTGTCTGCCAGGTTGGTGGCTGACTTCTCTTCACTGGCAATGGGATGGTTTCCCACACCCAGAGCAGCAGAAGGCTCCAGAGGCTGCAGAAGAAAGCAGTAAAATTTCAGTTTGCTGGCTGCTCAGGTCCCAGGATAAAAAAAGAATTCAACCAGTGTCATAGGAGCAGTCCTGTAAATAAAGAACTACCAGGACACTCACTGAAACTGGGACAATGTTTTAAAACAAAGTTCCTTCTCTGGAATGTGGCCTGTTTCCATCAACAGGATTTTGCTGTCAAAGTCTGGAATTTTTTTTATAGAACTGAACTTGCTTTCATTATTCTTGCTAGAAATATTAAAATATGTTACTTCACAAAGTCTATTTCTTCAGGCCATCCCACTATCATTATCTCAGCACTGTGATTAGTATAATTTATAGCATGAGCTGACTAATGTAATCATTCTGAAAAATGCAATCACCATTGCCTGACTCCAGTATCCATTCTGATAGTTTTCAGGAAACTTATATTTGTTTTTTAAATGAATGATAATAAGTAGTAATGAAAACTTCTACAGAAGTTTCCATACATATCTGACAAATTAATTGTTATGCAAAAAATGCCCACCAAAAAACTTGCTTAGCCCTGTCATTCAAAAAAATTATACAGTAACACTACCAGGAAGAAGGAAAGGAAAGAACATGCTCTTGAATTGACACAGCAGTTTGAACCTTAATTACAACATTAGGCTTAACACTATTTCAAACCCAAACTTTGCTATAAGAATAGCTGAGAATACTGGGGTCTATCGAGAAAGAAATGAAATTAATCCCAGTGAAATAGCTGCTTTGCATGTGACAGAAAAATACAGGGCACAATTAGTAATTAGTCTACAAAAGCAAGCTCAGATTGTTGTCTCTTTGAATGAAATGCACCTTCCTGTTCACTTGATCTTCACAGAATTAGATAGAAACATTACAGCTTACAACGTCAGACAGGTTTTATTCTCTTTAGAAGCACACTGCTGTTGTTATTCACACATGGTGGGTTTAGCACATGTGTGAAGGAAGGCAGCACATGGATGATGAGCTCCACTTGTGGTGGGGATGTTCCCCACTGCTGATGGGTGGCAGACAGTGATGGAGTGCACAAAACTGTGACCTTTACCTGAGGAGGAGCACACGACCACAATGATCACACCAATGGTGTAGCACTGTTGAAAACTTTATAAAGGATCTCACATTGTCCCCTGACTTTGCTTTTTGTAAGCCTCAAGTACACAGAGCAGTCCTTTCTGTTCTCATTTAGGGTTATAAAACTTTCATAGAGGTTTGCAACTGAATGATGCCTTCAAAAAAGACTGAACCCTTCCTTCTGGTTAGTGGGGATAAATATCTACAATATCAGTTGAAACTAGAAGCCAACAAAAGCTTCTGCTGTTGAATACCTTGCAACACCACTTACTTTGTCTTCAAAAGATGTAATGGAATTGTAAGAAGTGACAGCTAAAATGATAATCAGAAGTAGAAAACAATTTTCTTCTGGTAAACCACTGAAGAAAGTACAATTTCACAGATAAGCAGAGATGAGAGTGGGTGTATGTGGTATAGTGGAGGGTTTGCAAACTTAGGAAGAGCAATGAAATGAATAAAAACTAGTCATTTTTTTCCTCAAGAGAAAGAGCTTCCCAGTCCATCCAGTGAAGTCACCAGATGGTGGATTTAAAATAAATATAACAAGTTACTTTTTAAACACAGCACACAGATGAAGGGAAGGCACTGGCAAAGAATGTCATGGATACTGAGATTTTGAACTGGTTCAAAGACAAATTCTGGCCCATCAGCAGCTAAAACAAGCCCTGGCCCAGTGCAGGTCTCTAGATCTAGAAGTCTGCAGAGACGTTCTGCTCTTATATTCTTTTCACAAAAATCTGTCACTGGTGGAGGCAGGATACCAGGTGTCTGTGGCACCAGAAGAGCAGCTGCTGCAGCACTTTTGGAGAATCATGCTTATGTGAAGACAGAAGGTAGAGGGATCCATCAGGATACTTCAGAAGATATCACATGTTTAAGTTGATCTTAAAACCTATGTAAAAACCCTAGAGGCAAACAGTGCTACTTTGAGTTAACTCTTAGATACTTTACTTTTTCTTATTCTTTTTTTTTTTTTTTTCTTTTCATGGCACGAAACCATTACATAAATACCTTTTCTGCCAAATCTGCCTTATGTCAAGATGACATAAAAATAGGGAATGCAGTAGAAGTATTTTCAGGTGCAACCCCTACATATCATCCTGGGTGAAACATGAGACAACTCATCTATTTCATCTGCTGCTTTCCTCTGCAAGCTTAGGCAAGTGACTTTGCTCCCTCCCCCTCCTGGTCTAGGTCCATCTCCTTTAACTTGTAATTTTTGTGCAGGTGATCTTCTCCCAGGGATCTCCTTATGGCTTCTGAAAGATTCAGCTTTCTCATGCTATTATTTGTGTGTAAGAAGAAGAATTAAACTTTCCCTCCAGTGTTAGAGAAGTTTGCTTTTCCCCCCTTCCATCACCTCCTTCCCCTCTTCAGGAAGCTCTCTATCCACTGGACAATGTTTTAACACACAGGAAATCCCCAGGTGTTTTGGGAGAGGATGTGAGAGTTTGGGTGAGGCCTCATTCAGTCTGTTCCCCTAGAGCCATGCAATTGGCATCTCTCTCTTCTCGAGGCTCCTCCTTGGCCCTTTCAGAGTCAATACTGATCCTACACCTCCCAGCAGTGTTTGGATACTCCAGTGTCCTCCTCACCCTGTGGCTAAGAATGCCCAAGGAAGAGTAGTTATGTGACAACCACCAGAAACCTTCACCTACCTCTGGAGCTGCCTGTGCAAGGAGCACAGAGCTGGAGTTCCACCACAGCAGGGCAATCACAAGGGCCAAATGCACCACCACGAGCTGGAACTGCAGCATCTGCAAAGGAGAACAATCTATAAATTACTCCACAGCTGCATCCCCTGAGGAACCTTGCTCCACAGGTCTTAAAGAAGTAAAACCAAAGGGAGACTCTCCCCATGGCTGTTAATAAGTTTTATCTGTAGAGTCACTGCATAAAGATAATGCCAGCTGAATGCTCTTCACCCTTGCATGCAGAATCAGCTCCCTCCTCTGCTCCTTCCTACACAGCCCTGCCAATCTTGTGATTCCTTTCTGCACAGCGGTGCAATCCTTGCAGCAGCACAGTGAGGAATGCAAACTTGCCTTAAAACCAGATGAACTGCATGCTCACTTGTAAGCAGGGAGCCTTTGGCTTGTAGCCCAGGCTGCCCTGACCTCCCCACTTGCTGGAGAGGGGCTTAAAGCTGTGACAGAAGTCATATACTCCTCCAGTAGTATTTTGAAGGCAAGGCTGCATTTTGCTAGTTCCCAACAAGATCTAGTGGGAGCCACAACCTCCAATGTCATCCTGCAATAAAATTATTCACAATAAGCTTGCAGAAGGATCTGTTGCTGAGGCTGGTGGTAGTCTGACCATGTGTCACAGCTGCAGAACTGCAGATGCCCACCAAGCTTTTAAATAATGCAGGGAGTTTTGGAGGCTCAGGATGAGGAAGGTGCTTGGTTACCTCTGGACGTGGGTTTAGCCTACATTATTTAAGCACTTGTTTGGATCCAGATCTTAAAGCCTGATGTGCCTTCAATTCCCCAGGTGGGAGTGCTTCAGATGATGTTAGGAAGAGCTGGGCTGGGGCCTTTTGCCAAAGGCATCTGCTAATTTGCTGTTTTCTCTGTCTCCAGGTCTTGCCCCAGAGTACAATTCAAGTCTGATTCTGCCATTCTTTGCTGAGTCTCCACTTGGCAAAAACAGAAACACAAAGAGTGTATAAACATATATATACATATATAATTATTATTATTCCTATTGTCCATAGGGGATGGGCAGTTAGGAAGAAAGCTGCTGGTTTCTCTGCAGGGGTGAGGCAGACAGTTCACTGGAATCAAAGGACAAAGTCAAAGCACTAAGACCTGGTACCACTGTCTCTCAGCCCCACAGCAACAGCCATTGCTTGACATAAACACAGAGGTTTGCCTGGGTGTTTTTAAAGTTGGAACCCTCTACAATGTATATTTTTGTATGTGGGCGTGCATTGAAATTTGAAGTAGCAGTCTACTACCTTCACAGATAACCACATCCTGATTATTTGGATACAGAGACGTAAAAATAAATGGCAAGGTTAAAAACATATGTTTATTATGGTTTTAAGATCTGTACTGGTATTCATTCAAGCCAAAGACTAAAGAGCTAAAAATAGCAACTGGTACACTAATGAAAATAAACAGTAAGGCACCTGCAACACTAAAGATATTTGATTAAATGGTCAGAACTCAACGCCAGTGAAATTAGAAGCGGAGGAAATTTTAAGGACTTAAAGCTTGGCTCTATTTCCCAAAGAAATAAGCAGCTAAAGAGGTGGTGTCACTGACTGAAAAGGGAGCAAAACTTGAGTCCAGCAAGATGCTGTGGTGGTGATTTTCATGCAGCAATGGGACCAAGGCAGGAGAAAAAGGCAGGGTCATTGTAGTGGAACAGTTCGGCTTTAGAAAAGTAATTGCAAAAAAACTAATAATGCAGTGAGGATTATGTAAATACAATTAAAATCACACTTTCTTCTGCCAGTCTGGAACTTAGTTTTACCACCTTCAGCCATGTCATAGGACTTTAGTTATTAAAGAAGTTATTGGTATTTCTCCTTGAGCGTATTTGTTGCAATTGGCCAAGCAGAGCCCTCTGGCCAAAAAGGGGTTTTACCAGCCATGCTCTGGCTATTGCTTCACCCCATCCATATTTTACCTTGACACATTCCAAGAGAGGCTTTTAGAGAGGCTGGACAGTGTTTGTTCCTGAAGGAGACTAAGCAAAGCTCTGACAAGCTTTTCAAGATGCACCCTTAATTGAGTTTGAAATTCATTGTATTGAAATTGTATCCTTCCAGAAAATTCTTCACCACCAACTTCACAGAGCTAGGTCAAGGGATTGGTGTATAATTCCATGTCTGTAGTATCTCAGGGTCTTGTGTTATCTGACATAAAATATGGTTTTGCCTTCTCTAAATGAAATTGCAAGTCTGAATTCAGACATATTTATGTGTATTAGCGATACTTTAGCTAGAAATGTGTCAAAACTAAAATTCCTCATATAATTAGGTATCTTTGTTGCTGGTCCAATTAAAATAAAATTAAAGATAAAAGAAAGAACAGTATTCTACCTTATCAAAGCAGGATAAACATACAAAACTTTTACTTAGGAATCAGTGCAGAGCCATTTTCCAAGAAAATATCACAAGGAAGCAAAACGCTTTACTGAACAGAAACTGTTAAGTCTCCAACATAAAACCAAAGGACTTAAAAGATGTTTTTGTTACAGACAAAAAAACAAAACCCAAAATGACATCCTGAAGATAAGTGGGCTGAACAACCCTCAGACAGAATGCAATTCATCACCAAGCTCCAAATCCATTGCCTGTCAAAAATGGTAACAGCCATCATTGTTCTTACCCATTTGATCCACGATATTTCACATTACTGTGGAGATTAGTCTGCAAGCATAAATCACAAGGGACTTATTTTTCTTACTGGCCTGTTAGCAAGAGAACCGAGGCAAGACATCAAGCCTTGCTCTGCAATGCTTCACTGCAGCTGCCAGCCTGTCCTGATGGCTGTGCTCTGCTCGTGGCTGTGACGCCGCAGGGGACATGCCCAAGTCACCTGCAAACAAGGACCTTGCTCTTGCAACCAGCACCTTCTGGCCAAGCCTGGAAACCCCTGAGGTTCTGCCTGGATGCCACCAGAATGACCTGATGCAGAGCCAAGTCTTGGCTGTCCCACAGGCATTGGGAAGCTCCTGGTGCCTCTTGGGCTCCAGTGCTCCTCTTAGAACACTGGGACAGCACTGGGAAGTGATGAGCTTCATCACCTGCTAGCCAGGAAGGTCTCTGGGACCGTGCAGATTCCAGCCACCTGGGGGAAATCAGGTCTGCAAAGCAGGTACTGAGCTGTTTTGTTACTGCTCCTGCAGCACAAAATAAAATATTAACTGCTGATACCTTAATTGAATTGATTAATCAAACTGAGTACTCACACTGGCCTTGCTATGCTTGCATTGCACGCCCAACAGGAATATACCTTGGCCAAAAAAATTATGATGGATGATTATCTTACCAAAAGAACAACTTTAAAACGGCTTGTGTGAAGCTCTAAGAGTCTGCTCCTGCTGGAACAAATTTTCCTTACTTTTAAAAGTCGTAAAAGGTATCCTCTGATAATATATATCACCACAAAGCCAAAAATACCCCCACCACCAGTCCCAATGATTTCAGAACTGCTGAAGGACCCTGTGTGTCTCAGGTGCAATCTTGTAGTTATGTAAATGTCAAGGAAAAAGGACAAAAATCAAAACAAATCCCACCCTCAGAAGAAAAGGCAGATCTCAAAAATAGGCTAGAGCGGTGTTTTTGTTGTCATCCCACAGACAAGATATGGAGCATTTCTCACATATTGCTTTCCAAAAGATACTGAAGTCACACATTGAAACATGGGGCTTTAGTGACAAAATGAAATGTAAGCTGCCAGTGTCAGGCTCTTTATGTTATTAATAATGTTTTTTCTGGAGTAGGCATAGATTTTTAAACAATGCCATATGTTTTGTTATACATGGTACAGACACTGACAACTTCTACCATGTATTTTTCCTTCTATTTTCAGTTTCATGACTATATAGATATATAGAGGCAGGTAGGTTTCATCTAGTGGAACCAGAAAGAACTTGAAATTCATAGACTTATGCAAGAGGCTTATGATTAGTTATTTTGAGATAACTAGGTATTTTTGCGTCCCGAAAGAAACTTTTTGTCAGACAGTATTTCAAGGCCAAGCATGCTCCACTTCCTGAAAATGAAGCTCCTTCAAGGTTTCTCAAGGTAGTCAAGATTTGTTGATTGATTTCTGAAGCCTTCATTTCAATAATTGCATTCCCTGTACCCTGATTCTGGTGCTCAGTCCTGACACGTTCTCATATCACCACGTTAGTCACCTTTGCCTGTTTGACAGCCGTGCTTTGGCTCAGAAGTTGCTCGAGCACACAGCTGTTCCTACCACTTGTACTCAGATAAAACAGAGTTTTATGTCATGGTTTCAGTCGTGGTTTAGTCACTGCAGGGCTGGCCTGGTCCCTGCCCACACAGGACACAACAAGAAAGGATGGAAAGGTGACCCTCTAATTCCCATGAGGAGTTCAAGAAGGGCATAAATGAACACAGCCCTGCCAGGGCACCTTGGCTGGGCAGACACAAGCGTGATTCAGGAACAAATTGACTGACAGAGGTGGGCAAACACTTGTGAAAAGGCTAGTCATTCATGGTTTCATCTCTTCCTTTGAAAACAGGGCATGAAACCAAATGGCCATACAGAACAAATGAGGACAATTTTCTTTAGAATGGGCAGGAAGGACAGAGGGTGGACATCCTGCAAATCTGGCAACATATTTACACTATTACACTGTGTAATAAATCCATTTTTAGCAACAGATTTCAAAAATTAAAAGCCCCAAACTCACATATATTCCATAAATGTAGGAGACCTTGAAGTAACAGACAAACAGAAGTGATGAAGCTCATCTAGAAGGGGCTTATTAAGAAAGAAGGATGCTATGAAGTGTAGGAAAATATCTCTTAATGGGAAAAACCTATTTGCACCTTTCCTCAAAAGATAATTGAGTAAGCTGCAGTTTTCCTGGTCTGTGCAATGGAATACAAAACATTATTAGACTATTCTTCATTGCCAACAAACTCTCAACCCTACACTGTTTATATATGTACTGACTAAACATGCCAACTTTTTTAAACATTTCTAACAATTTGACATTCAGCTTTCTTTCTTCTTTTCCTCAAGAGCCAAAAACTTTTCATTGTTAGAGT